GAAGTTAGGGCAGAGCATCCAGCACGGCAGCCGACCTCACCGGCGCCATTTTCAAACATTTTCAAAATAGAGGCTAACGGCAGCTAACAGCAGTCCATATTGACAGAAAGTTCAGCATATTTTCAACAGCTTGCCTCAGTATCACTGTCATCAGACAGAAGTGAGTTTCACTCACTCACTGATTCCTCCAAACTAAATACAGGTGCCTTACACTACAGATGAATGTTATTTTGCTGACTTCAGGGGTGAAAATGTTAAATCCTGCAAAATACTTGACACATATCTGTTTCTTATTTCTGATTTACTGCTAAATGTTGATATTATTCAAATATGTTAAAATGTAATGTGAATTAAATGTTTTTTATATAGAAACAGTAGTAGAAGGCCAGGCGTGGCCATTACGAGGCCTAACAACAACAGTTAGAAACAAACAAATAATGGTGCAGTAACATCGGCTGTAGATGTGATCATCACCATGAATCCAGGGCGTTTCTGTCTGGTGACCTCGGCATATCAATGTCGAAAAAACTGTGGGAGGAGCCACGGGAGTTCAGGGTCGGATCTGAGACCCCTTAGGAAGGACTTTCATTGGACGTCAAAGAACTTCTGTCCATGAGCTCAGGAAGTTCTCAGGGCGTGCAGGGGAACAGCTGACATGTACTCAATTTATTGTCGAGGGTGGAAAGAGGACTTTGAGGAGCTCCAGAGTCTGACCGAACCTTCGTCTGTGAAGGAGACACCGCCTGAAGATTTGAGGGAACCTCTGCAGATACACTGGCAGAGATGCTGTCTGGTTCAGGACGTCAGGACTGACTCAGACTTGTCCTGAGATGATAACGGCTCTGGACATCACGGGCTGTTTGGGCTTGGGTGCGGACAGCACCTTTGTACTGGCAGACTGAGGTGGTGGTTCCCTTTGGAGGTCTTCCAGGCAGGAGACCCCGAGTGAGACCAGAACCTGCTGGTCTGGTTAGGAAGGCCTCAGAAGTCTGGAATACGGCTCAGCCTGCAGGTGACCTGACTTTGATGGATGGATATGTTTTTACAAGCAGACACTTCTGATGAGCGCTGGGGTCAGAGCGCAGCTTGTTTTTGTAACGTTTTTTATTGTTGGCAAGAGTGTTAATAAAAAAATCGTTAATCATGAAACAGAAACACGAGAACACAAAGAGAAGAAGAGCGTTGGGTCAGCTCTAAATGACCTGTTCAAGTTCAATAAGCAGAAAGAGGTGAACATGTTTCAGTAAAACGACCCTGATGGTTTCCATCACAGCACGAACGTCCGGCTCATATCGGCCTCGGGTGAATTCTGCTCAGCCCGGACGCAAGTGAAGGAGGAAGAAACCACAGTGACATCAGAAACAGTTTGGCACCCGCACTTCCTGTCTCATTACATCACACCGTTTCCTACAACTCAGAGGAAATACACCAGACAAGCCTTTTATGGAAATGTAAGGTCGGTTAGGTTCACTGAACAAAACCATGACAGCAGGTCCTCGGTGATGAAGCAGAATTCAAACAAACAACAACAAACCTCAAACATCTGAAGACGAATCAAACTGAAACTTCAGGCAAGACGTGCAGTCAATGAACCAAAACCAGAACGCTGTGTGTGTGCGCGTGCGTGTGCGTGTGTGTGAGACTGGGTGGGGTCTGAATAAAAGTGTGTCCCGTCAGATATCAGAGACCACTTCTCTTCAGCTCACCCTCCATGATCATGCAGACGCAGACAAACAGCCGAAACTATACCGAACATTTCATGGAGGGTCAGCATGTGTGGCTGAATGATTTAAGAAGTACAGCTGAGCGTCAGGGTTTGGAGAACCAGTACCTCTACAAAGAAGACATCCCTGACTACCCCCGACCCGAGTTCTGCGTGTCTCACCTGAAACATGACACAGAGCGACGGGGGCTATGTGGGATCCGGAAGGACAGAGGCTTCAAGGATCCTCGTGGAGGCTCCTCAGATCCTTGCCATCTCTCCCTGGTGTGGTGGAGTCTGGCTGTGGGACCCGAGGAGATCCAAGCAGCTGAGACGAGGCTCCTGGAGGAGACCTACCCAGACCGGATGGAGGAGCAGGCTGCAGAGCAGGAGAGCTTCCTGTGGAAGTTCGCCTCCTCTCCAGCCTTCAAGAGGAGGTCGAGACTGGGCTCGTACCGCTTCAGGTTTCCTCTGGAGGAGGTGCTGACGGCCTACAGCGAGCAGGTAATCCTACGTTTAAATGACTGTTTGCATTGACAGAGCTGACATCACCGCCTGTGAGCACCATAAAAGAGTCAGAGATGTCTGTGAACTTCATGTCAAACACTTTTCAGAGGCAGAGTTTGAACATGAATATCTAAAACACTGTTAACAACAGAAACCTGACAGTTTCACCCACATGGAAAAGATATGAATAAATCTTATAAAGTTTGAATCTGTCTTGTGTGAAACTTGAATGAAAAGCATACAAGAGTGAAAACAGATATAAGATCCCTTGAAAGATTATATAATGAAACTTGTATGTTTTGGATACTAAAACAATGTATGAAAGTAATGAGAAAGTGGCCACGTTCATGAGTAAATCATAGAAGTTTTTACTATTTCTTTTCCATATGGGCACTGGTGGGTCTTACCAGAAACATGAAACAGGATCTAGTATTCAAATATCTGCATCCTGGATCATTTAGATATTTTAAAACTTCAAGTAGTCCTGTAAAAAACTGCAAACAATAACCTGGGACTGTTCATGAATGATGTGTATTTATATTTCTCCATAATGTTAAAACACTGAATACTGTAAATATTACATTCTTAGTCACAAACTGAAGAACGTGCTTTTTTCGTTCAGCTTACATGGACTCAGTAAATATTTCAGGTGGAAACACAAACATCAGCCGACTGGAACAGACCCAGTTAAAACTCAAAGTGTAATCACAACATTCCTGACAACACCGAACAACAGGGCACTTCCATCCTTCGTTTACAGCGAGCTGCTGTCGTGACTCAAAGCGCACGTCGACCGAAACTTGCTGTGCCGCGTCACTCTTTCTGTCTCTGGAAGTAAAACTGAAACTTCTGTTATCGTCCCCAGTTTTGCTCTGGAGCTCCGCCCATCATGAGGGTGTTCAAGACCTCGCTGTACAAACAGGAAGTGCAGTACTCTGTGCTGGTACACAGCCCGGCCAATCAGCGGTTCTTCTCAAGGTTTCCTTTGCTCCCTGATGATGACCCGGACGCCGTCTGCACTTATAGAGACGGACGCTTCATCTGGAGACCGGAGGCCATGTGTAAGACACACAGGTAAGAATCACAGAGGTAAATGTGGAAATGACCTCCAGTGAGAGACTAAAAGCGCCCTCTGACCTCTGTGTCTCTGCCCGTCCTCTCAGCTACGAGTTGATCCGAGGACCTGACGAGAACCAGATGGACGCTCGGGGGCCGATTAGGCACCCAGAGTTTTATGTGTGGGATCACGTCGCCGTCGCCCTGCACATGGAGAACAGAAAGGTACCTTCGCTGCTCCTCCTCCTCACTATCAGCCAGCCGGCTCCTCCAGCCCGCCCCAGACTGCATCCACCACAGCGTGAACGCTGAAAGGCTTTGAATGAACCGCCGTGTGAAGAGCTCAGAGTGCTGGACCATCACGTCTGACTCTGACAGTTTAATTTGTGACTGAGCTTCAGTTTCATGGTTGTCTTTTTCTGTTTCAGGTGCTGAGGTTTGATCCTGATCAGCTGAGAGAAAACTTGAGGTTCTGCTGGAGGGACAACAGGACAATCATACCCCAAACACGCTTTGATCACTTCTGCAGAGCCCACTCCCTCCTTAGACGCCTGTGGCCCAGATACTCCTGGCTGGAGAAGGAGCCCCCACTCCGGCCTACCTGAGGCAATGAATCCACATTTCTCCTGACAGCTGCCTCGAGTGGACACTAGGAGAACTGCAGTCTTTGTTTTCTTATTAAAAATACTCTAGTAAAAGTAAAAGGTATCTCTGAGGTTGTGTCTACTATGAATGTGATAAAAATAAAGAAATAAAGATGAAATAAAGATAAATGAACTCGGGGGTGGCATAAGCTCCACCCCCGGCACCCCCTATCACACCTGGAGATTGATGAGGTGCAATACAAACAGTACAGCGAGTAGCTAGGACGCCAATGTCACAGCCTGGCCCTCGCCATAATTTGTATCATGGTGGCTGGACTTTGTTCTCTGTGTTCTGTGCCTTTAAATGTCTTTGCAGGTCCCTGCTGATTTGAGAGCTGGCAGCTGCTGATTGGTTCCCTGATCAAGTGGCTTTTTTAAAAACCCTCCCCAGCAGCAGCAGCTGAGCTGTGTGTGTGTGTCTGTGTGTGTGTTCCTGTCTAGCTATCTTTGTGAGGACGGAAAGCTGCATTCTACTATACTTGTGAGAACCAACAGTCACTCTTCAGCTGAGTACATCAAGTGTTTAAAACAGAAGCTGTGCAGGTCTGAGATCAGCAGCTTTGTGTAACACCAAACTGAGGTCCTGGTAATGCTGATATATAGTGACAGAGTTACATGAGTGATTCAATTCAATTCAGTTTTATTTACACAGCGCCAAATCACAACATAAGTCGCCTCAAGGTGCTTCATAGATACAGA